GTCTCTCTGATCTGCCCAGTCCAGTCCTGCATCCCTGAGCCAAATCTCTGCAAGTGTTCCAGTCAGGACAGATTAAGTTTCACCGTAAACCAAGAAGCTCATCTTTATTTCTAAGCAATTTATTTAAGAGCCTCCTAAAATCTACTAACTTCCAGGCTGAAAATCATTTAAAATCAAATGAGTTTCCTCGCAGATAAAACTCGAGATCATCCTTCAGCTTTGGGGATAATAGAACTCAGTGGTCCTTTCCTCCCCGCCCGAGGGGGAGACGGGTGATGGAGGAGCGGCATAGGACCTCCAAGGAGGCCCATGAGCCCCACGGCTGTTTCCCGACGCCAGCGGAGGAAGGAGGTTAGAGGCTCCCTCTGCTGTTATCCCTCGGGTGGAGGAAGCCCTGAGCATCCCTCCAGCCCCTGAGGTCTGAGTCCTGGGGGCCCACGCCCCCGTCAGCCTGGCCTGGCCTCAATCCCACTTATGCCCAGCCCAGACCACCCCCTGCCCAGTGAGCTCCCCCAAGGCTCTTCCTTGTGGCAAATGAGATTCTCAGAGCCCTCTGGAGAGTGCTAAGTGCATGGGGAGGTCACAGCTGACCCGTCACCCCCGCCCCAACTGCTCAATGCCCCAGACTTCTCACCGTGCATGGCCTCAGGCCGTGCAGAGTCTGTCCCACTCCCTCCAGCCTCCTGTTGCCCTTCCTCACCACATCAGTTCACCTTTGTAGCAATAATGTTTAGAAACAAATCACCTGGAAACTCTGGTTTCAACCCGAGTATTTATTTAGCTCACAAGCTGCAGGTCAGGGGTCAGGCTGAGCTCAGCAGGTGACTCTTCTGTCCTCTCCGGGGTCACTCGGGCTCACTCACTCGTCTGGGGCTGCTTGTCTCTCTGCTGCCACCAGGCAGCTCTGTCCCATCCCTCGATGTGTCTCATTCTCAGCTGGGGAGCCTAGACACTGCTCAGCGATGGCGACGGAGAGAGGAGAGAGGAAACCAGGAGGCCTAGACACTGCTCAGCGGTAAGCGAGGAGAGAGAGCTGGGGGAACGGAGCACTGCTCGCGATGGCGGCAGCGGAGAGAGAGGAAAGAGCAGCTGGGGAGCTAGACACTGCTCACAGCGATGGTGACGGAGAAGGAAGAGAGCCCAGCGATGCCTTCAACCTCTGCCGCATCCCATCCACGGCCAGGCCCAGGGAGAGAGGAAGAGCCAGCTGGGGAGCCTAGACACTGCTCAGCGATGGTGACGGAGAGAGGAAGAGCCAGCAGGTGCCTTCCCAGCCTCTGCCCGCATCCCATCCCACGGCCAGACACAGAACAAAGGAACGGGAAAGATACTCCACCCTCGGTAGGGTGAGCGGCTGAGTCACATGGCAGGGGTGGGAGACAGGTGGGTGAGAGTCGGGGGAAATGCAGCGACCCCTCCCTCAGCGCCTGGGCTGGGACCCGCTGGCCCCTGCTGACCGAAGCCCACCCTCCTTGCAGCTCAGCGTGCAGCACCACTGGCCCAGGCAGCCTCACCTCCCTCCTCTCCAGCCACACCTGGGCCCAGGAGAGTGTCCCCTCTGGAGAAGCCCCCAAGAGCACCCCAGCCTGAGTCACAGACTTTGACACACTCTGACACTTTCCTTCCCACAGTCGTCACAGTTTGGGACAATAAATGATTCCCCAGGGCGTCAGCCCAGGATGGACGCCGCAGACAGAGACCTTGACCATTGCATTCCACCAGGTTGGACCTCCTGGCCCAGGGCAGGGCATGGCAGGTACTCAGTGGACCCTGGTCGGCAGAACAAACAGCAGAGGTGCCACGGGGATGGCCTGGGGGACAGAGCAACCGACTGAATGTGGCGCTTTGCTATACGTGATTTACTCCTCACCAGAGGTGGCCGAGCCGCTGCCCTGGCGCTGCTTTCTCCCTCCCTGGGGGAGGGCCCTGTCCCGAGGGTAAGGCCAACGCCTGCCCTCCCCACCCACCCAGCCTGGCCCACAGGGTGCACTTGGTCACCCCGTCATGAAGGACTCAGGTCCAGGCCCCTGTTCCTCTCTCCAGCCCTGCTTGTGAATTCCGCACAGCAAAGACAGGGCGCTTCCCGACAGCGTGGGCTCGGCCTCCAGGAAACATGCTCGGGAGAAACTGGGTGACGTGGATGAATCACTCGTGCTCGGAGGCAAATCGACTGCGACTACTCCCTACAGCAGCCCCAGAGCAATGCCTTCTGGATCCTCACTGTCGTTGTGATACGAAAATACATTATTTTTAAAGACCGTTGAGTGAGTCAAACCCCAGCACTCTCATTACTCTCATTAACGTTCCCAGGCTCAGAGGAGCAAACCCTGGAGAGCTTTGGCCCCCACTCTGCCTGCCTGAGGCTTAGGAAACGGCCAGCGCAGAGGCGAGCCCGGGGGACGCGGACACTGGGGTTGGCTGTCTGGCAGCACGAAGGCTCCAGGACTCTGCATAGAGCCCAGCCCCGGGGCCTCCCCAGGGAGTGAGGGACACCCGTCCGATCTCGAAGAATAAAACCTGCAGGGAATTCACAGTCTGGGAGACCCAGAGCCCAGCACCCCAGGCAGGGGTCACACCCAGCTACGCGAAGCTGAAACCTGACGAAACAGCGGCTGGACACCTGCTCCTCAGAGTGTGGCCCCAGACCAGCTGCGTCCGCATCACGCAAGAGCCCCTCGGGAATGCAGAGCCCCAGGCCCCTCCCCAGAGCTGCCGAACCTGAATCTTACCAGCATCTTGTGCATTTTATCATAGTCCCCAGAGGATCTCTACTTACAGCAAGATGACCACAGGGACCTGCATGGCTTAAGGCCATCACAGCTCAGGTCTCTGCAAGAAGAGTGCAGGACGCAGCCCCAGCCATCAAGGTGCCATCAGAAAGAAAGGGGGATGGGGCAGGGAGAGGGACAGCACCTAAGGAGACACGTCCCTTTAAGTCCCCACAGACCAGAATCCATCCCATGGCCACATCTAACTGCAAGGGACGTGTGGACAACAGATTCTGTTTCCAGCTGGGCACACAGCTGCCTTGAACAGAAGCAAGGTTTGGTAAGAAACGAGGTGGAGGGGAGTCGCTGCGTGGTAGGCAAGGTCTGCTACACAAATACGCAAAGGGTGCACACTGTCGTTCCCCGCCATCCCCGCGCCCACAGGAGTCCCCATCTGAGGCCGGAAGAGGCAACCAGTCTGTGGCAGATGCCCAGAGGAAGGAGTCCAAAGCCACCCCATGACACCACAGCAAAGGGAATATCTGGACAATTATACTCCAGATGTCAAGGTCAAGGTCACCTGGACACTACATGGGGAGTGGGGAGAGAGAGAGAGAGGGAGAGATAGACACAGAGATAGAGAGAGAGAGAGAGAGAGAGGGAGAGAGAGACAGAGAGAGAGGGAGACCGAGAGAGAAGGAGGGAGAGAAAAAGTGGGGGAGAGAAAGACAGAGACAGGGAGAGGAAGAGAGACACAGAGAGAGAGGGAGACCGAGAGGGCAGGGGGAGAGAGAGAGAGACAGAAACAGAGAGAGGGAGAGAGAGATGGAGAGAGAGACAGAGAGAGAGGGAGAGACAGGGGAAGGGAGACAGAGAGAGAGAGAGAGAGAGGGAGAGAGAGGGGGAGACAGAGGGAGAGAGAGAGACAGAGAGAGAGACAGAGGGAGAGAGAAACAGAGAGAGTGGGGGAGACAAAGAGACAGAGATGGAGAGAGAGGGGGAAATAGAGAAGGAGAAAGAGGATGAGAAAGAGGGGGGAGAGAAAGGGGGGGGAGAGAGAGAGACAGAGAGAGATGGAGAGAGAGAGGGAGATAGAGAGGGAGAAAGAGAGGGGGAGAGAGACAGAGAGGAAGAGAGAGACAGAGAGAGAGAAAGAGAGAGAGAAAGAGAGAGACAGAAGGAGGAAAGAGGGGGGGAGAGAGACAGAGAGGAAGAGAGAGACAGAGAGAAAGAGAGAGAGAAAGAGAGAGACAGAAGGGGGAAAGAGGGGGGGAGAGAGAGACAGAGAGATGGAAAGAGAGAGAGAGAGAGGGAGAGAGAGGGAAATAGAGAGGGAGGGAGAGAGAGAGAGATGGAGAGAGAGAGAGGGAGAGGGAGAGAGAGGGAAATAGAGAGGGAGGGAGAGAGAGACAGAGATGGAGAGAGAGAGAGGGAGAGGGAGGGAAATAGAGAGGGAGGGAGGGAGAGGGGAAAGAGATGGAGCAGGGGACAGACAGAAACACAGGAAACCTAATTCTAGGACCAAAGGAAGTTTTTCATAATTTCTTCATAGTAAAACAACTTAATAATAACCTAAGTTCAATAAAAATAAGAATTTAAAATAAGGTAATAAAATGAAGTGATATGAAGAGACAGATTGCAGATCTAAGGAAACAAATTGAAGACCAAAATAACACCATTAAGGTCCTAATAAAGAACCTAAAAGCACTGAGAAATATAATAGCACCATTAAAAATCAATGTTTTAAGAATTCTGTATACTACTTTTATTGGTAAAACAACCCTTTTATTATTATAGAAGTAATAGATACACATTTTAGAATATTAGAAAATATAAGCAAAATGAGAAAACACTTGTGGTCAGGAGTTTGAGACCAGCAGGGTCAACATAATGAAACCCTGTCTCTACTAAAAATACATGGCGGGCCAGGCACTGTGGCTCACGCCTGTTGTCCCAGCACTTTGGGAGGCCGAGGTGGGTGGATCACCTGAGGTTAGGAGTTTGAGACCAGTCTGATCAACATGGCGAAACCCATCTCTGCTAAAAAAATAAATAAATACATACAAAAATTAGCTGGGTTTGGCAGCATGCATCTGTAATCCCAGCTATTCGGGAGGCTCAGGCAGGAGAATCACTTGAACCTGGGAGGTGGAGGTTGCCGTGAGCCAAGATCGCGCCATTGCACTCCAGCCTGCAGGGCAAGAGTGAAACTCTGTCTCAAAAAAATAAATACAAAATAAAAATACATGATGGCACATGCCTGTAGTCCCAGCTACTCCGGAAGCTGAGGCAGGAGAATCGCTTGAACCCAGGAGGTGGAGGCTGCAGTGAGCCGAGATTATGCTGCTGCACTCCAGCCTGGGAGACAGAGTAAGACTCCGACAAAAAAATAAAAATGAAAATTCCACGTTTCCACAGTGCAGACCCTTCAGCCCCTTCCTTGTGCGAACACTCACACAGCCCACACCTGCGTGGGCACCCGGCACACACCCCTCACCGCTGCCTGCTTAGATCGGTGCACGGTCCCCTTCCTTCCGTTTCACACTGTTTTGACTCAGTGAATACTCAGGCCTGAACTGACCTAAAAACTGTCCCGGGCAGTAGGTCTGTGGAAAGCAGAACCCATCGGGAGCTACATGTGGCCCTGGGCTGTCGTGCCACCAAGCAGAGTCCGGCCTGCTGAGGGGACACCGGACGCTGGTTCTGCAGGCGCCTCGGTGGCTGGACGGTCGCGTTGCTCTGCCTGGTGTTCTTAGCTCCACCTCTGCCGTTATCTGGACGCTGCAGGTTACTCTAAAGGCTTTCTGAAATCACCAGAAGTCTGGCGTGTCCGCTTTCCACAGGCCGCGCTGTGTCTGTCAAGTTCCTCACAACAATGACAGCACCAGTGTGAGCCACGGCGAGGTCAGCCCGGGGAGGGAGCGAGCACACGCTGCCTCCTCCATTTCCAGCCGCCTCGCCACGCCCGCGTCCGGAAGGTCATCTTCACGGGGTTGCACTGGTGCCCTGTGGACACAGCCCCTCGTCTGCCATTCCCGGAATTGTTTTAATGCCAGTTGATAATCCTTGCCTGGAGCCATAATGTCACCAGCATTTACTGAGTTATATTTTTCAAATTCTATTATCATTTCTATTTCGTATTATCTGTCACTGAAAATCAAATATCGCCCTAGGAGAAAATCTTGAAATCAACAGAGTAAATGTAGATGAAAGAGACGTCGAGAGAGAAGCTAATCAACATGAAAGACGTGCAAAGAATCAACATAAGGAAAAAGGGTTTCCCTGAAGTCAAGAGCCCAGCAAGTGGAAGACATGGTGTCTCCAAAGACAAATTTCTCTAAAACAACAATAATAATAATAAACACACTGGACTGGCGGATCTGAAGAGGGTATTATTTTCCAGAAAATGCTGAAAGAAAACATCCGACCCTGAGCACTGAGGGTAAAGAAGACTCTTTAGGCAACAAAAAGTAAACCATTTACAAGAAGATAATCAGCCACACTGGCCTCAGTCGTTCCCATCCGTCTTCGGAGCCAAAAGACACGGGAAAACCACGGCTGGGTGTGGAGGGAACGGCTGCAGGGCCCGGCTGGGTGTGGAGGGAACGGCTGCAGGGCCACAGAAGCCACACCCAGCTAAGGCAGCACCTGGTTCGCAGGCAGAGGTGCTCACCCTCCAGCATGAAGGAACGTCAGCACCCAAGAGCCCTTCCTGAAAACACAGATTCCAGCCGGCAAAGCAATCCAGAGTGGAATCCAACTTCAGGAATAGAGAAGCGGCAGCCACGGTGTTCGCGGGAGCACGGGGTTGTGGAAAGACGGCCCATACCCAGTGGCGCAGGCATTATCGTCACAGAGTGCAAACCAACGTTGCAAAGCAGGACAATCTAAAAGCAAGGATAAAACCAACAACAGTCGGAAGGTGGGAGGAAAAGAGGCAGAAGCACCAACACACGAATTCTTCATGTTTTACCGCCATGTCTGAAAGTGTCATACATCCTTAAAAGATGACTCGAAGCTTGCAGTGCTTTGTAAACTTTTTACAACAGCCTTAGAGAGCACTCTCAAAAATAAGTTGACAGAGAACCACGCATTTGCCAGTCAAAAGAACTCCATGAGTTTCCTTCTCTCATCTTAAGCTCAAGTGAATGAAATTTAACTCTGACTGAAAATAGCACCTGCAGCGTGTTCAGAGTGTTTCTGCTCCTCCGTTATTCACCTGGAGTCACGATCACTGGATACCAGTGCCAGCTTTTCCTGGGCGAAGGCATTTTTTTCTTGGCACATTTCCGCATTGATTAAATTCTTTGTAATGAGCGTGTGTGATTTTTACAGAAACAATCGAGTACCTTGAATGGAGGAAAAGCACAGAGGGGCTGGAAGCAACCATGCAGGATTTTACACGTTTTTAATGCTGGGTCATGACCAAAGGAATATTTCCGCCCTGTTCACAGTTTTTTAAATCTTTTTAAAGGAGAGGAACACGGCTCCACCTTTCACACCGTATTTTCCTTTGTCTGTTTCTCATCTGATGAATTTCATTACAGTCCATGAATCTGACACAGCAAAGCAGCTCACCGCCCTCAGGAGAGGCCCCTCTGTCCTGGCTGCCCTTCAGGTGCAGGCAAAGTGATTCCCAGGGCTCCGGGAACAGCCACGTGCCTAGACGGCCCAGGTGGCATTGAGCCGGCCACAGAGGTCACAAATGTACCACAAGGAGAACAAAGGCCGAGGAGGGGTCAGCCATTGGCCCCGGTCCAGGGGGGTCTTCCTGGTGGACAAACAAGATTTCAGCCACCACAGTGCAATCCCTGAACTGGGGCTAGAGCAGGCATTGGAGCTAAGGGGGTGTCAGGATGTGAGCGAGGCTCCTGCAGCCCCCAGAACACGGAGATCAAAGACCCCAGAGCAAGCCTGGATTCCTGGAGCCCTGGCCTCAGAGCTGTGGCCGCCCTGTCGAAGACAGTGTGTCCCTCCTCCACCTCTGCCCTCCTTCCTCGTCCTCAGCTCACACGAGGCAGCACCCTGTACACAGGCACACAGAAGCCACACCCAGCTAATTTGCGGGTGTGCAGCAAATTAATCCACAGAAGAGTCCCTGCTCCCCAGGGCCCTGAGCTGGCCTCGTGCCCTCTACCCCCGCCCCAGTCACTCCAAAACCTGAGCAGCTTTTCTCTCCTTGGGCAACTGGCTCACTTCGGGTCTAGGTTGTCACCCTCCCTCCTGCCTCGGTGCCTCACTGTGAGGAGAGAGAGTTGGCTGTGTGGAGCCCTGCACTGCAGGGGAGGGCATGGGGAAGACCGGGTTCCGGGCTCAGGGAGCCTGGCCTGCCGCACAGGGGCCCCCGTCCTGGGCTGGAACGCCAGAGCCAGGCACTGCCCAGCCACCAGGAACTGCTCGGTCCAGATGGGAGATTGTGTTTCTGAGGGCAAGGAAGAGGAAGAGGTTCCCCACGGCCCTCCCTTCTCAGCCACCCCCACCCTAGCCTACACCATCTTCTCGGAACGATCTCGAAGGACGTGCTCAGTCGCCAGGACTTAGGGCCTATGGAGGGAGATCCTGAAAGTCCGTCACAAGACGCTCGCACCTCCCACCCCTCATGGGGCAAGGGGCTCACCAGGCCTTCTCAGAGCAGGAGAAAAGCACAGGCCGGGTCCTAGTGAAGGGGGTGACCGTGATCCAGGGTGGAAATCCCTGTGGAGAGGCTGTCACAGGTGGGGTCTGGAACCAGCACGCCCTCCTGAAATGGGGAGAGGGCTCTGGCCCACCCACCGCCCATGTACAAACCCTCAGCCCAGGGAGACTCGCTCACCCACTCAGCAGGCCTTCCCGAGACGGCACCGTGGACCAAGGACACAGCTCAGAGTAAATACACTGTGTCCCTGCCCTCCAGGTAACCTGGCAGTGGGTGAGGCACGTTAATCAAGGAAATAAATGAGCTCCATAAAGAAAAACGAGTAGTGAAGAAGCGGGCATTGCTTGAGTGGGCGGCAGGGGTGGCCGGGGCCACTGAGCTTCCCCCTGAATGATGAGTGGGGAGAGTGGGCTGAAGGGAGGCCCCCAGAACCACTGACCACGCCCACGCCCCAGGGCCTGTGATGGGACCGTGTTTGGAAATCGATGTCACTGCAGATGTACTGGGTTAAGGATCCAGAGATGAGACCGTCCCGGATTTAGAAGGATCCTACATCCAATGACAAGCATCGTATACATAACAGAGAGAGAGAGGAGACATGAGCTCCGAGAGAGGGAGACGTGAGCTCAGAGAGAGGGGAGGGAGACGTGAGCTCAGAGACGGGGGAGGGAGATGTGGGGGAGGGAGACGGGAGCTCAGAGACGGGGAGGGAGACGTGAGATCAGAGAGAGGGAAGGGAGATGTGAGCTCAGAGATGGGGGAGGGAGAGAGAGGCGTGAGCTCAGGGTAGAGAGATGTGAGCTCAGAGATGGGAGGGAGAGCGTGAGCTCAGAGATGGGGAGGAGATGTGAGCTCAGAGATGGGGGAGAAGAGGCGTGAGCTCCAGAGATGTGGGGGAGATATGAGCTCAGGAGGTAGAGGAGATGTGAGGCTCAGAGATGGGAGGAGAGGCATTTGAAGCTCAGGGTGGGAGGGAATGTGAGGAAGCTCAGGGTGGGGAGGGAACGTGACTCAGAGATGTGGGGGAATATGAAGAGCTCAGAGATGGGGGAGGAGAGATGTGGCTCAGAGATGGGAGGGGGCAGCGAGCTCAGGGTGGGAGGAGTGTGAGGTCAGAGACGGGGGAGGGAGATGTGAGCTCAGAGAGGGAAGCCACGGAAGGCAGTGGCCGAGAGGCTGAGAATGCGCCACAGGCCCAGGGAGCCACGAGAGCAGCGGCAGAGGCAGAGGCACAGGTTGGGAGACTCCTCGCTCAGCGCCTCCAAGAGCCCAGCCAGCAAGCCTCGGCCTCAGCCCTCGGCCTCGGAACAGAGGAAAGGCGAGGTTCTGTCGATTCTGGTAGCCGCCACAGGCCCAGAACCACAGGCAGCGGCAGAGGCAGAGAGGCCTGGAGTTGGGGGGACTCTCGCTCCGCGCCTCCAAGAGCCCAGCCAGCAAGCCTCGGCCTCAGCCCTCCGGCCTCCGGAACAGAGGGAAGACGAGGTTCTGTCGATTCTGGTGGCCCCGTGTGTGCTGTGCTGGGCCGGCAGTCGCAGGAAACAGATTGGAGAGAAAGAGGCAGCTGTGGGCGAGGGTTCCGGGCAGAAGGAGGAGCAGGTGCAAAGGCCCTGGAGCAGGGGCGGTGTCAGGGCTGGAGGCTGAGGGATGGACCCACAAATCTTGTACAACTTCCAGTGCAGAGGAGGCCCCTGCAGGTTCCCAGGCAAAGAAACAATGCTGGAGGCCTTTGTGTGAGGTGAGATGCAGCGTGGCCAACAAAGCAAGAACAAGATGAGGACAAACAGAGGCTGAGAGGCAGGGCAGGGGTGGCACAAACCCCCACAGACCCAACCCTACAGACCATCCCCTAACCATCCCCCACAGGCCCATCTCCCACTGGGAAGGGCACCGGAGGACAGGCCACAGCTGCTCCCAAGAAGACGCCAAAGGCAGGAAGGAAGCGTCGGTGCAGACAACAGAGCATTGGAAAAAGCTGCAGAGTCGTTTTCTAGAACTGCGGGCGGGTGGGAGGCGTTCGTGCCCACGACGGCTCCCCGTGAGGCTTCAGCGGATCTGGCTTCATGGAAAGGACAGTGAGGAGACACTCCCTCCCCCCAGCTGAGCCCACACCCTCAGAACTTCTGCGGGAAAACGGTTTTCCAGCTGCCTGTGACCAGGTGGCCGCAGCTCAGGGCTCAGAGGGGCTCTGCCCTGGGGTTCTGAAGCCCAGCAGCTGTGTTAATTGCCTCGTAAGGTGCACTGCGTGTTGCTGTATGAAAACAATTGGCATCCAGGCACTATCCTCTGTCCACAAGTTGAGATTTGATTACTTTTTTATCTCTAAATTAAATTCCCTCTCGTGCCTGTCTTGTTACATTAAATCTCTTTAAATCTTAATAGACTGCAGCTCAGGCCCCTGAAAACAGCATCTGGTACTCACGGGGCCCTGGGCCTCAAGGCAAGGACGAGGGAAGGGGATCGCCAGCAAGGCAGCTGGGTCCGGGCACCTGGACGCTGAGGCAGAGGAGAGAGGGTCCTGGGACCCAAGGAGGGTTCTTGCTCCTCAGAACTGCTGCAGACACCAGCAACAACCTTCGAGGGGCCTCCCAGGGCAGGAAGAGCACCAGCACCTGCAAAAACAGTTTGCCGGGCTCCTCCCCACTCCCCAGGCTCCTCCCCCGGCTTCCAGACCCAGCTCCAATCGTGCGGGAAGCCCCCGCCCCGGCCCCACCTGGGGTCAGTCCAGCCAGGCTGACCCCAGCCCCACCCCATGCAGGGCCACAAAAGGCCTTGGCGCTCCTCTGCCTGCACCAAGTTTTGGCCTTTCCCCGACCCTGTCTAGCTGGGAGTGGGGGTCTCAGGCCTGCAGCAGGCAGGGGAGTGGGGGTCTCAGGCCTGCAGCAGGCAGGGGAGTGGGGGTCTCAGGCCTGCGGCGGGCAGGGGAGTGGGGGTCTCAGGCCTGCGGCAGGCAGGAGGGCACAGCCGCGGGCCGGCGGGAAACTCGGTGGCTGACGGAAAGTGTCGCTCTGGCAGGTGACGGGGCCGGGACTGGGGGGGGGCTTGCCCCTCAGCTCTCACCCACGCACTCTTCCGAAATTACGCTTGGAACTTGTACTGTGTCAGTGACAATCACAGGCCGCCTATCACGGGTGCGCAGATGGGGCCTGTAACACGGCCTGCGTTCATCTTCTGAAACCAAAGACCCCACGCTCCCCTCACTAAAGGGCTCCGGGGAGGCACAAATGGCCTCTGGTGGCCGCTGTGGCGACTATGGCCTCGGGGCCTCCTTACAGCACCCGGGCCAGGTTAACCACCCTGTAAGCTGCGCGGAGCACCAGGGGCCACGTGAGCTGAGCTGGAGCTGGGGACTCAGGAGGAGCCGTAGCCCCGGCTCACAGGCGTGTCCCTACTCAAGGCCCCCGCGAGCTGTCACAAAAGCAGGAGGAGGCGCCAGGGAGAGGAGGGCTGGGCTGGAGATCCACAGCCGGCCGAGGGCACGGGTGAGGGCAAGGCCCTGTCCACCCAGCAAGGGCGGCCCTGCAGCCTCTGGCTCGCGTCCCCGTACCCAGGGCTGCTGCCTCCAGTTTCAGGACGAGCCACGTCACCTGGCTTAGGTGAAAGTAATTCTATGTAACCACAGACTGAAAAAGAGGAGGATGGCTGTGTGGAGAGAATTTTGGTTACAGGGTCCCAAGGCCCCCTGTCCAGCTCAGCCCGCTCCTGACCCTCCCCTGTCCAGGCCCTAACACAGCCGTCGCTCCTGTCTGCTCATGAAGGGCCTCGTATGGGAACACGGTGCCCCCGTTTCTCTGGCTGCAAATTCACGCCTGCCCCCCTCTGAGGAGAAGAAAGGCCGATGGGAGATTCGTGACAGGTGCCTTCCAAAGCTGTGTGTGATGGGCGCGCTCGAGCATGGCCGGATGTGGTCAGGGATGCAGCCACACCAGGATTTGCTTTTGAGAAATCCTCCTTAATGCTTGCTCAGAACTCTGGGATCATTATTTCTTTATTTGCCTCTTCTTGCCTTTTGCTATTTCAGAGTGAAATGCATTATCCTAAGAAGCTCCCTTTTTGAGGGAAGAAAAAGGAAAGAGGTTTCAATGTTTTCATTGAGGTTTCAACCGATTTCAATGTTACGGAGGGAAATGTGGGGAAACAGAATGCCAGGCGCTGCCCCGGATGAGGGTCCAGGTGGCTGCAGTGAGAGCAGGTGGCTGCAGCTAAGACGACAGCAAAAGACCCCCAAGCTCCGCCGTCCAAGCACGTGCACCACCCGGCGGACGAAACGCAGCCGAGATGACAGCAAATAAGTACAATTCATTCACCAGACCCCAGACACCACCACCGGAACACAGACACCCAACAGGCCAGACAAAACGCCACTCCGGACGCCTTGTAGGACCATCTCCCCACACGGGGCCCGGCGTCACCCTCTCTAACACTGGGGGTGGCTGCAGGTGACAGAGACCCGAAGAACAGTCACCTCCACAAGAGAGGCATTTGCTCTCCTTCCCCCGAGAGCAGAGGCCGAGGGCCCAGGGCCACCAAGACGAGTCCACTCCTCCAAGTCTCAGGCTCTGGGGCCGGGCACCCTCAATCTGCCACCCTGCTCTCCCCAGGGACCATCTGGCCACCCTGATTTTCCCGGGGACCCTCTGCCACCCTGCTCTCTGTGGGGACCCTCCGGCCACCCCACTGTCCCCAGGCACCCTCCAGCCACACTGCTCTCCCCAGGGACCGTCTGCCACCCTGCTCTCCCCAGGGACCGTCTGCCATCCCGCTCTCCCCAGGGACCGTCTGCCATCCCGCTCTCCCCAGGGTTCTAGCACAGCCCACGGGGGCTGCCCCACATCTGCCTCCATCTGCAGGGGGGCCCCCCCTAACCCTACCTTAAACCCTTGCTGGGCCGACTGCACCACCGCCCCAGAGCTTGCTAGAGCACAAAGCCAGCCCAGAAGAAAGAAGAAAGCCAGGAGAGGGAGAACAGCAGACTCCAGACATGGTGGGAACGCCCGGACCGCGCCACGCCTGGAGCCTGTTACCGTCACTCTCATCTCAGTTCTTCTCAGTGAGTCGCCTGTTTCTTTGTTTTTTCTTTGTTTTTTGTTTGTTTGTTTGTTTGTTTGTGCTTAAACCACTTTGAGGTGCGCTCTGTCCCTGTGATTAGACACCTGGCAGATTGTCAAAGCTGCGTGACGTCAGGGCTGTGATGCCTCTGTAGCAAGGTGAAGTCCTCAAGTTTCTACGAGCTCAGATCCTCTGCGTGGGCCCCAGAGCGTGGGGGCCACTGGGCCAAGAAGGTGCCTCAGCGTCGGACAACCCTGGAGCCGGCAGACGGCGCCCAGCAGCAGGTATCCCGGGGACCTACTGACTCCAGCCTGGTCTGCGACCCTCATTAAAGACGCTCTTACCTGTAGGAAGGTGCCGGGGACCTGTATGACAAACCTCCCACTGACTTGGGCTCCAGGAACCACGTGCGGTGCTGAAGTTCAGGCGGCATATCCCACCGGACCGTCTTCACTGCCATGGCAGCAGCTAACCTAGACTGGCTTAAGTAGAAAAGGAAATTTTTTGATTTAGGTCAGACAAATCAACACCGGTGGGCTCAAGGAGTGCTGAACACAGGACCTGGTGTACCTGGGAGGACGCCCACCTCCCCAGCCCTGCTCTGCTCTCCCGGTTCCAGTTTCAAACAAGCTGCCCCCATGGGGCAAGACAGTGGCAGGGGTCACAGCCAAACCCTCCTGCGAGTGGCTGCAGCCCAGGGTCACCCATCAGTCTGTGTGTTCGGGAAGAGGCAAGGCTCTGGCCAGGTCAAGAGCAGAGCATGAGGCCCCTCAAAGCACTGACTGGCGAATGGAAAGGGGCTCAGTTCTCAGAGTGACAGAGACACAGAGACTTTGAGACAGCATCACACAAACGGACGGGGGCTGGGTCATCCTCAGGGCAGACAGGCACCGACTCACTGGGGAACCACCTGGAAACATGGGAGGTAGGACTTAGAGCCAGAGGCGGGGACCAAACCTCCAGACCAGACTGAGGACTGACAAAACAAGGAGAGGCGAAAGCACCTCCACAAGAGACAGGCCACCAGGGCCAGGTCCGTTTACTGTTGGGCGACCGCACCTCTCCACAGCAACAACCCCACAACCCAGGAGTTACCACCTTTTCTGGAAATGTCTGCCTAACCTGCCCCTTCATCTGCACGAAATTCAGTGTGGGTATAAATGAGGCAGCAGAACTGCCCTGCGCGGCTACCCTCGGCGCCCTGCCTGTGGGGGGCCTGTGACCCTGCGCCTCTGTAAAGCTGCTTGTCCCACCACCAGCTGACTCTTGAATTCATTCCTGAGCAAAACCAAGAAACCTCCCGGGCTGAACCCCAATTTGGGGCTCCCCATCCTGCATCACTGGGGGAGAATGAAGGAGAAAGCTGAGTCACCTGGGGGAGGCCAAGGGTCAGTCATCCAAGAGAGAATGGGCGCTGAGTCACCCGGGACAGTGGACGCCGAGTCACCCCGGACAGTGGATGCCGAGTCACCGGGGACAGTGGACACCGAGTCACCCTCGGGACAACCATTGCCGAACAACAAAATACCGGCCAGCTCCCTCCTGTCACTGGGTCTGTTACTGCTGTGACATCACATCACCAGCACCGAGACAGCTCAGAACAACAGCCACGTGTTCCTCACAGTTCTGGGGGCCGGATGTCTTCCCCTGGAGGCCCTGGGCGGGAGCCTTCTTTGCCTCTGTCGGCCTCAGGGGCCTGCTGGCTGCCCTTGGCATCCCTGGGCTTGTGACTACTCCCTCACCAGTGACCTCACCCTCCCCCATGACCGCATCCTCCCCCGTGATCACACCCTCCTCCATGACCAATCCCACCCCCATGACCTCACCCTCCCCCATGACCAATCCCTCTGCCGTGACTGCGCCCTCCGCTGTGACCTCACCCTCCGCCGTGACCACACCTTCCCCCATGACCTCACCCTCCGCCGTGACCTCACCCTCCCCCGGACCGTGCCCTCCCCCGTGGCCTCACCCTCCGCTGTGACCGCACCCTCCCCGTGACCTCACCCTCCCCTGTGACCACGCCCTCCCCCGTGGCCTCACCCTCTGCCGTGACCGCGCTCTCCCCCGTGACCTCACCCTCCGCCAGACCGCGCCCTCCTCTGTGGCCTTGTTCTCTGCTGATGGTGGAATCTCCCTCCCCCTCTCTTGTGATTGACTTTAGGGCTCACCTGGATGATCCAGGACACTCTTCCACGTCGAGCTTCTTAATGTATTCACATCTGCTGACTCCTTTTTTCTCCTAAGGCCACGTTCACAGGCTCCATGGATCAGGACCTGAGGTCTTCAGAGGCCATCACTGGCCTCCCACAGGGACCCGCACTGGAGGTGCTGCTGACCAGCTCTGACCAGCACATTGCAACCTGGGAGCCGCTTCGCTGTGCATGGCCTGCAGTGCATCCTGAACCCCATCCTTCCAGCGTTCTATACACAGACACACACAGGCACACAGACATGCCAGCAAACCCATATGCATGTGTACATACACACACACGTATGCACATATACACTTCCAAACACACTTATACACATGCACGCATAGACACACAGACATGCCAGCAAACCCATATGTATATGTACACACACACATATGCACACACACGAATACACTTCCAAACATTTATGTATACACATGCAAGCCCAGGCACGTGCAAACACATGTGGACACATGTAAACACATGTCACACACAAATGTGCACAGCATGCTCATATGCACACATGTACACACATGCACAGATAGAGCTGTACATGTCAGACATGAACACATACATGTACACATCTACATACGTACAGTTGCAAATGCACATGCACGTATGTGTGCTTCATGTGTGTATGCATAGATACACGTGAGCATGTACATATACTCATGCACACACATGAAGTCACACAGATACACATAGACATGCATGGATTGTGAACATACATATACACATGTGTGCATGTATGTGCACATATGCACCTGTGCATGTATGCAGGTACACACATGCATGCACACACAAGCATGCACATATGCACACATGTACACATACACACATGTAAACTCAAACACACACAAAACACACACACCCCTGGTGCTTTCTGGGATTGCCTCCCAGTAAGCTACAAACATGTAGGCCCTTGTCTCATGCTTTCTGGGAGAGCCCCAGCCAGTGCCAGGGAAGCTTGTTCCCCCCCACCTCCCCCGGCCCCGTGGGTCACCTGCTCACTCTGACCCGACCCAGCTGGGGGAAGAACCTGCTCACTGGCCAGTCCAGGTCATTGGCCCTGTAGAGCAAGGGGTGGAGCCAGCACCTCCTGGGCCACAGATGCAGCCTGCGGGGTGGGAGGTTCCTGGAGGAAGACCCAGGACCCTGTTACCAAAGGAAGGGTCCAAGGATGCCAGGAGGCAAAATAAGAGACGTCCAAGTAGAGGCTGGGTGTGCAGGGAGACCCCAGTCGGCTGGACCTGCTCCTGTATGTTCCACAGACGTGGCATCTCAGGGATGCCAGTGCCCTGGGACCCATATCATCCTGGCTTTGAGGGTCTGTGGCTCCATACATGAAAGAAATGAGCACCAATGAGCATGATACACTCATCCCTAATTTGCCTGATGGCTGGTCCCGCAGCCAGCTGTAGCTGGTTGCCCACCACCTGTCCCCGGGGCCAGCACACCCACGTCCAGTGATGCAGCGGTGGGCTCCCCCAGAACGTGCAGGCAGTTCACATATGCGTAATCCAAAATGCACACGTTCACAAAAACAGGAGCAGCACGGCAGGTGTGACTCTCTGCCGAGCAGAGGAAGCCCGAGAAGGGCCCAGTGCCTCTACCACCAGCTGAACGTGAAGGCAGGGAAGTGCCGGGGGCTTGGACCTGTAGTGCACGGCCACACTGCCTCCGCGTCGTACTGAAGCCAGTCCTGGATAAGCGCGTGCAGGAGAGAAACACAGTGACCTGGACCTTGGGCCCTTCACAGCTCTGGAGTCACCCGTGTTTCCTTAACGTCCAAATGAGGCGGCCTGGGTGCCCGCCCCACCTGCCGGGAGGACCCGGCAAACCCCGCAGCCTGTGCAGAAGCTGAAGGGCCCCGGCCCCCTCTCCTGCCTCATCTGTGGGTCTGTGGGACGTTCTCCTTCCATCTGGCTCCCCCAGGACAGGGGACGGCCCCGCAGCACTGCCGAGACCAGGAAACCGACCAAATGTCTTCAGGAAACAAGCGGGTGAGCAGCTCCGCGGAACGTGAGGCAGCAGGAGACTCACAGGGGTCTTCGCGTCCCACCCCTCCACAGACCCTGGCTCTCCGGGGACCCAGCCCCTCCAGCAGCAAGGCCTTCTCCTGCAGCGACCCCCATGGGCTTGGGACAGCCCCACTGAGGAGACAGGCCATTTCTCTTACCGTCTCATCTCTGAAGAGAAGGAGGAAGTAAAAGCTGAAAAACAGGAATGAAGTCAGTGGCAAGACCAGCTGGTGCCACTGATGACCAGGCCTCAGGTTAAAAGATTAACCCCCCACTGTAACCAGCCCGCACTGTAACCACCCCCCACTGTAACCACAAACAACCAGCCCGCACTGTAACCACCCCCACCGTAACCACCCCACCGTAACCACCTCCCGGGCTGTAACCACCCCCGCTGCAACCACCTCCCGCTGTAACTACCCCCCACCGTAACCACCCCCACCGTAACCACCCCACCGTAACCACCCCCACCGTAACCACCCCCACCGTAACCACCTCAAGCAGTAACCACCCCCACTGTAACCACCCCCGCTGTAGCTACTTCCCGCTGTAACTACCCCCACTGTAACCACTCCCACTGTAACCACTCTCCCACTGTAACCACCTCACTGTAACCACTTCGCCAAACCTCACTCTCCACTGTAATTCACTCTACCGTAACCAGCCCCCACCGTAAATTCACCCCCACTGTAACCACCTCCCGCCGCTGTAGCCAGCCCTGCTGTAAACAACCCGCTGTAACCACCCCCCTACTATAACCACCCCCCAACCACCCCCCACTGTAACCACCCCCCACTGTAACCACTCTCCACTGTAACTACCCTCCACTGTAACCACCCCAACCACCTCCCCATCAAACCAGCCCCCACTGTAACTAATTCCCTGCCGTAACCACCCCCAACCACCCCCACCGTAACCACCCCGCTGTAACCACCCCAACCACCACCACCGTAACCACCCCCACTGTAACCACCCTCCACTGTAACCACCTCCACTGTAACTACCTCCCGCTGTAACTACTCCCACCGTAACCAGCCCCCGCTGTAACCACCCCCCACTGTAACCACCCCCCGTAACTACCCCTCAACCACCCCACTGTAACCAGCACCCCGTAACTACCCCTCAACCACCCCCACCGTAACCAGCCCCCACCGTAACTACCCCACTGTAACTACCCCCAACCACCCCCTGACTGTAACCAGCCCCCACTGTAACCACCCCCCACTGTAATTCACCTCAACCACCCCCACTGTAACCACCTCCACTGTAACCACCCCCCCACTGTAACTACCTCCCAACCACCCCCACTGTAACCAGCCCCCACTGTAACCAATTTCACTGTAACTACCCCCCAACCACCCCACCGTAACCAAATCCTGTAACTACATGCTCAACCTATCACGACCCTTCACGGGACCCTTGGGTGGCTACTGTAAACAGGGCTGGCTCTTCTCTCTGCTGGAGGCTGGGCCTGTTTTCTCCGTCCCATGGGCTGTTGGGCTTCATCCCTGAACAGGCTGCTTTCTAGAGCTCCCGAGCAGAAGCTGTATCAACTGAGCCCAGTTTGCTCCCACCAAAATCCCAACTCTCCCAGTTTCACAGAGACAAGAAAACCAACTTTCCCAGGAGTGGTCCCTCTCGCAGGAGAACCTGATAGGGGCTGCCATGCTATCTTGAAAATCCATCTGCCACTAATCACTACTTGATGAATAAATGGACGAGCAAAATGAATGAGTTGGAGAAGACGCTAAATCACCACCGGAGGAGGGGCCGCCCTGCAGGAGGAGGGGTTGGGCTGTCCAAGCCAACCGAACTAATCCACCTATACACCCATGTACTCACACCCACCCCACCCATCCAAACACACATCCACTCATCCACCAATTGCCCATCCATCAACCCATCTAGGCATTCACCTATCCCCCACCCACCCATTCATCCACCAACCATCCATCCATCTGTCCACCCACCACCCGTCCATCCACCAACTGAGCCATTCATCCACCCACCCACCTCCCCCATCCAAACACACATCCACTATCCAACACCATTCCACCATCCATCAAACCATCTAGAATTCACCTATCCACCCACCCACCCATCCATCTGATCTATCCACACACCCATCCACCATCCACCATCCATCCAAATCTACTCATCCATCCGTTCATCCCTATATAATTTATCTACCTACCTAGTTACCACTTATTTTATCTATTTTACCTATCTACATTTGTTTCCATAATATACCCATTCACTATCTAAATACTCTATCCACCATCCACCATCCACCCATCCATCAGCCCATCTAGGCGTTCACCTGTATTACCTACCCACCTACACATCCACCCACCCATCCATCCACCCACCCACCCATCCATCCATCCACACACCCATCCACCCTATCACTCATTCATCTATCCATCCACCCATCCACCTTACCCTTCACCTCCCACCCACCCACCCATCTATCCTTATTTACTGAGAGTGTCCACTGGGCACCTGCTGTGTGACTGTCTCCATCCTGAGACAACTGCCCTCTCCCAGGCAGAAAACCTGTGTTCTCATGGGCCTTAGTAGGAGTGGGGGTCGTCAGGAGATGAAAG